CACAAACCTGTAAGGTGTTTGGATGTGATCTTTTGCCAGAGCAGCCATGTTCTGAATTTAAATTCCTCTATACATAATCCTCCTCCCAAAAGATGAAAGAAAAAAACAAAACAAAAACAAAAACAAGGAAAGGAGAAAAAGAGGAAGAAAGAAGGAAGTAAAGAAAGAAAAAAGAAAACAAAAAGAAGCCTAAAAGTCTACTGGAAAAAAAATTCCTAAAAGTAAGCCCATCCTTGAAGCTATCAAAGGATCAACAAATCGAGAGGAAACACCATGCTCTCTGCCCTATGCTGCTTTGTGTAAACACATATCCAATTACTTTGTTAATTCCTTTATTTCCGTATAACGATTTACTCACTTATTTTATATGATGTGAACATTTTCCACAAAGATTTTTGACTCTCTTTCTATGACTTATTAGCCCTAAGCCTGCAGGACCAAGTAGGTATTCCTATCAGGCTTAGACTATATCCTCTTTAAATGTGAGTTGCCCTGCCACAAGCAATTACATGACTGAATGTGAAGAACAAAAAATGGCAAAAACAAAAGGTTTCTGAATAAATAACAGCCAAAAATAAATTCAAAATCAAAACCATGGTGTGTCCAAAATTTTATGAGCACTGTTTGTTCCTGAGTGTCAGCAGCCTAGGTTCTGAACACACAACTAAATGACTGTTGCCTAAAACATCTTGGCTAAGATTCTAGACTATTGTGTATTATGAATTGTAATATTTTGCTGTACATACAATTTTCTGTTCTTCCATGAACATAATGGCTCACTTATGAAAAACAAAGACTACATATTTTCTTACCATCATTATTCAGCATGTTAGAATAGCTTTGGGCTATACTGTGTTCAAATGCTCTATTTTAAAATCAGTGTTTGGTGCTAGGGGTGTGACTCAGATGGCAGAGTACTTACCTAGCACTACACAGTTTGGCTCCGTTCCTACCATTGCACAAACCAAGTGTGGTGGCACATGCCTATGAGCCCATACTCAGAAGTTAAAGAGGATGGAGGATGCAAGTTTCAAGGCAATTCTCTCCTACAAAATGAGTTTGAGGACAGTCTGAACTGCATGAGACCTTGTCTCAAAATGAAGTAAATAAAAATAAATAAGTAAATTAAATGAACTGGTTGATGGGTTAAAATTGCTGTTTGGTGGCTGAATTGAGTTTCATTAAAAATTATTCAATGAAATTTGGCTTGAAATTAGGACGGGATTTCCAACAATTTCTGAAACATCCTTAAAACATATTGTTCTCATTTTGTCCTATACATTTTTGCAAAAGAGTTCTCTCAGCGCTAATGATTATAAAAATAAAAATATGACTCAACTCTGACAAATGTTGACTATGTCTCTTTCACTTTTAAGTATTTAGTCAATATTTGTTCCTTTAAAATAACTAAGCATAGCTATACATTAATATGTGAATTTGTTTTTACTTATGATAAATAGTAAATGTTTATATAGACCAAAGAATTGCTTAAAAATAATTTTCTTCAGGATTTGTTATGAGAAAGTGTTTGCTTTGTGTATCTATTTATATAAAATATGATATACTTAGGTAATTTAAACATTTCTCTGGAGAAAGTGGTCTCTAGTGGGAAATGTTTAGCTGTCTTTCTTTGGATCATCAAAGCAACTAAGACTTTTGCAGGCAATGTATACTGTTTCCAATAACATGAAGGACTTCAGAAGCACTGATGTAAGATATTCTTAGGTGGAAAGCCAGTTCTTGACAATATCTAACTCTGGCAAATAACACTAGAGTTTGATGGCAGCATGTTTACTACTTTTTGGAACACTCAGTTTCTGGTGGACTTAAATCACAAGCACTCCATAAAGTCAGTTTATGGGAATATGGTAATAAATAACTATAAAAGAAAGAGATGCTGGGGATTTTCTCAGAATCAAGTACATGTCTAAGTTCTGGCTTCATTCCCAGCATCTCAAAACAAAAACAAAAACAAAAAGACAGAGGCTGTACGTGGAGGCACATGCCTTTAAGCCCAGGACTGGGAGGCAGAAGCAGGCAGATCCCTGTGAGGTCAAGGCCAGCCTGATCTACAGAGTAAGTTCCAAGGTAGTAGCCATGGCTACACAGAAAAACCTTGTCTCAAAAAAATAAAAAACAAAAACAACAACGACAAAGAGAGATAGACAATTACATTGTACTTGTCCCTTAAATATCACCCCCATAAACATTATGTGAAGCTCCCAACACAAACACTGAGTGGTTCCTAGCACAAATCTCTATCTAGACTGGTACCACAATACAGTCAGTAACTATTTTCTTCCCTTCTTTTAATTCCTTCACAAACCAAGTCATTTTGCTCAGGTTACATAGCTATGGCAAAGCTGAGTGTCTTTAGAAATATAAATGTCAATCAACATTCAAGACTGTCCTTACTGTTGCTTGTTCATTCAAGTTGAATGTGCTCTCCTAAGTGGGACAGAGGTGAGTTAGAGGAAGCCCCTGGCAGCCTGCTTAGGACTCTGTGTGCCCCTAGAAATATTAAATGTCTGATCTACCATTGGAGAAGGAAGAAGAAACCTGAGAGGTATAGAATAAAAATAAGTACCATGTCATTGTCACAGAGGCTGTCTGAATGCTTTCAGTATTGAAGAGAAACTGTGGCAACTTCTTTCCATTCTTGGCTGAAGCTCACCGAATCAACAGTACACCCCTACTGGAACAGGAAAGAAAAGCAGCCAGTAGGTAGGCATTGTTTTAAGGGGTGATGCTGCTTTAAATAGTGGAATACTGATCCTCTGATAACAGTAATGCTGGCGAACAGCCTGGAGCCATCCTCTGCTTCCTCTTAAAGAGGCAAGAACTTCCTACAGCCTGTGATGAGGATGAGAATGGCAGCCATTCACCCCACCCATCGCCGTGGCCCCACTCACTGTGTTCTGCTCATCACTGAAACTGGACCGTGTCCTTGCTCACCCAGCAGACAGGACGTAGAGATGTTGGGTAGTTTGCCTGAAATTTTACGAAGCAACTAGTTCAGGATTTCACCAAGTAAAAAGCCTTGCCTGAATGCTGACCAGTTTCAGAATATCAGCCCTGGAATATGTCTCCATTCCTAACAGTGTCTGTATAGCGCTATATCTGACCGTCCAGAAAGCAAATTTGGCTGAACAAATCAAGCTTGATGCCATGGTGGCATAATTCAACTGTTTTAGGGATCACTGGCCTCTTCTCTGCTCAGCAGTGTGTTAAATTCTCTTGCACTCAGGGTCTAGTGTTCTTTCCACTCCCTGGATTGTCCATATCCTCCTCTCCTTCCCCTGCACCCCTCCCCCATTTCCTATCTGACCTTTCTAGTTCTAACATGCAAATGACAATTCCTTTTACTTTTAAATTTAATAAGTTAATGTTAGTTTATTTTTCAGAAGTTTTCTACAGTTCTCTGGTAGTCTCCAAAGCACATTCCTGACAGTGTGAGTCAGTCATTTGTATGGAATTCTTGGGCTCTTTGCTCAGAAGCAACTGCTGTGGGCAGAATACACTAACCTTTATCCTTCTGTTGCCACTCTCTAATTTTATTCATAACCCGTGTCAAAGGCTTCATGCAACTTTTGTCAGAGAAAGCGCGCATTTCTCTGGGGTGCTATAGATGAAGAGCCAGATGCACTAGAAAATCTTTCTAGACGATGAAAAGACCTCCTTTTCCTGTCCCCTAAGGTAGGGGTGTGTGTGTGTGTGTGTGTGTGTGTGTGTGTGTGTGTGTGTGTCACATCATACATCATACATGTGTCTGGGTCCAGAGAAGGCTTTCTGGGCCTCTTTGCCCTTCCCCATCTCTTAGCCTCAGGTTCTCTAACCATCACCTCTCCCACCCCATCTCCACATCTTACCAATTTTCTGGTTGGTTGGTTGGTTGGTTGGTTGGTTGGTTGGTTGGTTGGTTGG